CGCGTGGCACATCATCCTCTGCGTCTCATCAGACGCCACATAGTGCGCTTTCTGGACTGCAACTTCCTGCTCGAGTATGTCGCATTGCCTCGTGAATATGCTGCATTGCCGCTTGCTAGACGATTCGGTCGTCGACGACATCAGTTCGCCATGGCGGTCCATGACATCAGCAATGGACTCCAACGCCTGTTGACGTGCATTCTTCCGCTTCCCGCCTCCAGCCCCGCTGGCTGCGTTGTTGTCGGAGTCCCTCGCAGAAGAACGTTCTTCAGGGACGCCTTCACCAGCGGCCTCACTACCAACAGACTCCCCAGCACCCGCTCCTCGCCTGGGCAACTGCACCCTGTCCGGACTTCCGGTGTCGACGATGTTGGGAGGGAAAATTGTGTGGTTGCCCAGCATGCCTGCGTGGATGTCGTTGTACAACGCCCTCTCCATCCGGAACTTGAAGTTGTGCTCCTTCCTTTCTTCATTCGATAGCCCGAAGAAATTTGGCCGGCCACTCGCATTCTGAAACCTCTGTATCTTCTTGTAGTTTTGGAAGAGATTGTCCCACTTCTTCATGCAGTCCTCCGCGTCTTTAGGCCTCCCCACGTTCGCCATGCAATGTTGTCCCACTTCCACTCCTTGGTCCGCATCCGCCCGTAATTGTGACCCAGACCGGCGAGGTGCATCTCTTGCTCCCGCTTGCATCCCACTAGTTGCATTTCCTCTTACGGGGACCAGTACATCGCAGACTTCCCGCCGTCGTCGCTGACGCCACCTCTGCCCCCACGGCCAACGGATCGACCATGAACAGCACCTCTGCTGCGTCCTCTCCCCCTCCCACCCGTCTTCCCCAAAGGCCGAATAGAAATGTCGTCGTCGTCGTCCCCTGCTTCCACATCCTCCCTGAATCGTTCGTCGGCATCGTCACCGCCACCACCATTGTCGTCGCCGCCATTGCTGTGTGCCCACATGTTTGACACTCCTCGTGTGATGTTCTCCACAGTGGGTGCTGGACGCATCGATGGTCTGCACGTGCCGTCGTCCCTGAGGTCGGGTTGGGTCGGCGTTGTGCTTTTGGGCATCGAAGGACGTGCACCGCTGATGCGCAGGGACCCGACTGCGACTCTATTGCGTGCGGGGCAGGTACTTGTCAATCGATCGGCGGACGGTGCACTCGATCCATGCTGCCGGCCTGCTGCCGGCCTGCTGCCGATGGCCCGACACCGCCAGTAACGGTGCACCAGTAATGGCCGATGGCCCGAGTGCTCCGTATGCTGACTTCCAGATTGTTGAACGCCACGTGGTGAAGGATCGGCGTCGATGATGAACATGCGGCTCGCCTCCCTAGCGCCGCCAGAACACAACCCAAACCTGAGATCAAGTCCTCCATCGTCGTCGTCTCCCACGCCTTGGTGCAGCAGTGAGGTGACCTCGCCGCCTTCATTGCTAGCCGACCCGCATGCTCGCACCGTCTGCGACAACAGCTGCGTCGACCCGCAGGCAAGAGGCAACGTTGGAAGTTCTTCCGTCTCCGGATCCTCGTCCGACGGGGGCAGTGGCGTCTCCCACGACTCTAGATGGCGGTACAAAGATGGGCCGTACCGCCGTGAAGGCTCCGCAGACGGAGGTCGTCTTCCGCCCTGACCCGCACCAACACCTGTGCATGCCTGCATGCCCGCCATCGGACGTTCCACTGCCGCCCGTTTCGTTGAAGCCCTCCTCTTGCGATGTTGTTTCCACGGCCGCCACGACAAACACACGTGGAGGAAAACGACGATGAGGAACACGACGACAGCGAGTACGAGCAGAGGCAATCTCCTCTACACGTCAGCCATGAAATTCACCTCGGGAGCCACCCTCGCACGCGACTACTGCAGAAGACTGTTCCGACATGCCGGGGGATAGGGCCGGTCGACCTTCATATGCCGACAACCAGCACAGAAGACGACAAAGCTGCCTGCCTGCGATTTGAAAATCAACCATTGCCGCCCACGCACCGCCCCAAACGCCTCCGTACGGTGTCCCGCGCACGTCGTCGTACTCCTCCGTCACCCGCAACCAAGCTAACGGTCCACTACGGACGCCAGCCCGCCCACGGTCGGCCCCCCCGCGCTGCACCCCGTCGGCCAACGGGTACCGCTGGTGGCTGTTGCCGGCCTCAACCCGCAGAAAACCTCCGATGTCCGGCCACCCACCCGACGGACCGCTCCTTGACCAGCAACCCCGTGGCGACGGTGCCATGCGCGCGATGCAATGAGTCCGTGAAACGCGGGAATCCTAAATTTTTCAGTAGGTTGGGAGCTACTGGAAAATTTAGGACGATTTTGCCTGGGGAATCCTAAATCCGTTACGACTGGTCCAAATGCCATTTTCACATTTTCGATCTCGAAATTGGATTTAGGATTGCGTGCAACGAAGACGCAATCCTTAAAACATGAACGTTTAGGAGTGTCTAACGAGACCCTAAGGGCGCACTTGAGACTCTAGGGTTCTCTAGTGGTGTCAAACGACGGCCTTAGTTTTGCCATTTCACACGAGCATCTTTCCACACCACTTGAACTCAAGGGTTGAAGGGAAATTCTTCGTTCCACCCCTCCATAACAGCACCGCCCTAATGTTTTCACTTTCCTGCTCTCAAGTGCACATCCTTGAAACTAAAGTGCGGCCGGGGCAAAATCGCACTTGAACTCACGGAGGTACCTCCTCCCCAAGGTACCTCGGATACCGCCGAGCACTTCGAGTGGGGCTTTTTATTGTTTTTCTTTTTTCCCAGCAGGTGATCCTCGTCGAGGATTGGTCAAGCCGAGGGTTTCCGTTTTCAAGTGCAGCTTGTTCAAGGGTTTCCTCAAGCGTACGTGGAACCATAAATCCAGTTACCGTAGATTAATCACAATTTCTCGTTTAGGGTGCCCTTGAAACTCAAGTATCGAGTGGTGTCGAACGAGGCCCTTTGTACATCTTTTGTACGAGGTGGCTTCCCACTGCACACCGAGCTTTGCCGAAACACCAGCGCGGCCTGTTTGTTGTAGTTTTGGCTGCCACCGCCAGCCATTTTGGTCTGGCTGCCCCGAGCCTCTGATTTTTTCGGAGAGGCTCAATCATGAGGCCATTCTCACACAAATAGGGTCTCCGTTAACCTTCTCTCGATTCTCAACTTTGCTGGCACCAGTACATGACCCCCGCCAACTTGTGAATCTTTTGTCCATGCTTTGGCTATCACGATTGCCAAATCCGAAAAGTTCAGGTGAACAGTGCTACCTCGCAAAAATGGCTAGTGGGCCCAGCCAAAAGCAAACAAAAACGCCGCGGTGGCATTTCAGCAAAGCTTGATATGCAGGGGCGTTCAAGGTTCATGAATTTTGCCTTGGATGTACTGGTGGTTTAACACTGGGCATGCCGGCGCAAAGGGTCCCGGAGCTTCCCAGCAATATTTTTTCTAGGCCATGGGCATATGCCCAACCCCACGAAGACGCAGGTTTGAGCATACTAAGGGCCTAGTTCCACGACTGGCCTTTCACCAAGATTTTGAATGCATCGGGACTAGAAACTTGTCCAGATGCATTCAAGATGTTCACCCATGGCAACTGCTGCCACTAGGCCCTAAGCCTATGGGCTAGCACATCTGAAGTATTTTCCTACTTTTGTCAGAGTTTTGTGCAATAACCTCATTGGCAAAAGCACTCCTTCAATCACGGAGTGTCCTAAGGAGGGCTTTATGATCACTAGTGACAGAGGTTACGTTCCTTGTTCAGAAAGGCAGCAGTTATTATTTTCAATGTTGTGGCTACATCTGCCATAGGAATTTGTGGTCTGATGGCTGCGAAGCCCTGCGCCGTTTTTTTTATGGGCATGAGGTTTTTATTTCTTTTCGTCTTGCGTGCCTTTCCCCTATTTCTCTCTGCCCAAAAAATTGTAATGACCAAAGAGCCTAGCACAGTTGGTGCACCCATGAACTGTTGAAATACGGACCCAAGTTCAAGTCCAGATGCAATCAGAATAATTCTGAACTACCTGAGGCCGGTCACCTAAATGGCGATATGTGAAGGCCATAGCCCTTCTAAAAGAAAGGGGGGGGGAAGTTGTAATGAACCTGTCGAACGTGTCACACTAACGTCACACGGGTATGGGGATAAGCTTAGCCCGGTGCTAATGGGACCTCCCTCAAGAGGGGTCTCGAGGTGAGATGCTGAAGGTGGAAGGATTTCTTGCAGCTACCTTCTCCCCCCGAATACAACGTACGGTCATTATAGCTGTATTTAGACGGACAGATACCGTATGTTGTATTTGGGGGAAGAAGGTAGTGTTTTTTTTTTTTTTTTTTTTTTTTTTTTCCCCCCCCCCAGCTTGTGGGCTCACACCATCATGTTTTTTTTACAAATTACTCTCTGCTTCTGTTTCTCTGATTTTGCTTTTGTTTCCTCCCACCCCCCCGGGCGGTGGGGCGCAGTGCCAAAGGCGAATCGCATATATGTGCACCGCAGAGGCAACCAGGTCCCAGCGATGCACTACCAACTGGGGCCTCCCATCCCTGACCCCCCGGCCCCTCTCTTTCCGCGTGGGAAAAGAATTGAGACTGTTGGCCCAGTCCTCCGCTTACCGGCCTGACGCCACACACATACAAGCAATTGTCAGTGAGTTGACGGAGGGACCGACGTAGGTTAGTACACCCATGAACTGGTGAAATACAGACCGGAGTTCGAGTCCAGTCATAACCAGGTAAACATAAACAAAATAATCCTGAATTGTCAGGCAGTTACTGGCGGTTCATCCGATCGTCTTCCTTCCCCCAACACAATGTACACTCATTTTGGCTGCATCGGACCGGAAAGCTACCTTGTATACATTCATTATCACGGTGCATGGTGTTCGGGTGAAGACAGTAGTTATCTACCAGTATGTAGTCCTTGCCCTGTTGGGAGATCATGGGTTCAAACTTCAAATCCTCCCATATTCTATATTGTCAGGGGTTTCCTTTTTTTATTTTATTTTCCTAAGATATATATTCAGTGAGCAATGGTTTGTGTGGCAACAGAACAACAGATATCTGTTGTGGGATGGTGTGTGATCGCACACTCGGCCTTTTTTTTAAGCATACTATTTAGTATTGGACCACCTGTAGCGGTACCCTTTCGGCCCGACAGTGAGGCCGGACCTGTTTCAGGCCGTCGGCCTGACCCCGGTCCGGTGCCGGGTTACTCCGGTCTGGACCAAGGCCGGTATACCTCTTCGGCCTAGGCCCAGGCCTGGTAGGTCATTCATTCAGTTGTTCGTTCATTCATTGAGTCGGACTGGACCTTCACTCAGCTGTTGCTTTTCGTGTGTGTCCATCTCCTCTCTCTCTCTCTATCTCTATCTCGGCACGTGCCTTCCTGCACGTGCGTCACATTGGTGTCGGAGCAGGTTCTTGAACCTCTGCTCCCTCCCTTCAAGCCCCTCCCTCGCTATCCCGCCATCACGGATAGCTATCACCAAGTCTGTTTTTGCAGCCGCGCCTGGTCCGTCAACGGGACCAGGTACATTTGTCACCCAAGCTCGTGCCTTTTCTCGACGCCGACGCTACTCTAGCTACTGTTGTTTTCCTACAGGCCGTTGACGTCGACCTGCTGCCGCTCGTGCTCCAGTTCGTCCTTCACCCGTCGCTCCTACTCATTCAATTGTCGGGTGAAGGATCGCGAGCATCTCGGCGTCTTGCAGTTGTCGGTGCTGTGACAAGTCCATTGAACCTTATCATTGAGAGGAAGGAGAAATCGTAACAAGGTTTTCCTTGGTGACCTGATGAAGGACCATTGACACGTGGCCCCACCATCCTGCCTGTTAACATACTTCCCCTCCCCGACTTCTCCCTCCTCCCTTCTTGTCCACCCCCTCTCTCGCCCGCTTGCTCTCTTCCCCCTCCTGCATCCACTCCCGACCCGATCGCCTCCCCACCTCGCACACACGTGCACGCACACCCCCAGCAACTGTGCCCCGACTCCCCGATCCCGATCCAGCTCTCGCTCCCTGCTCACGCAACTTCTCCACCCTCTCCTCAACTCCCCCTGCTACCCCGCCTGACTTGGATCCCTCCCCCCTGATCCCTTGAATCTCCCCACCCCGTATCCCATCGTTCCCTCCCTCCCCTCTCCCCACTGCTCCTTTCCCCTGATCTTCCTCGCTCCCCCCTATCCTAGATCCCCCGCACACACCTGCGCGCGATCACGCCCCCCCCACTACCACACTACCTCGCTGCGTTGCCCGCTCCCCCTTTCCCCCCCCCCCCCTTCCACTACCGATCCCGATCCCACCTCACCCCGGCCCGACTCTGCCTGGATCGCACACAATCGCAATTACAATTCCCTTTTCCCCACTGCCATCACCCCCATCCCGACTTCCCTGGACTCTTTCCCGACTTTAATCGACTTCCCCCCCGACTTCCCCCCTACTCCCCATCCCCCTTCTTCCCCAACC